GGATGGTACTAATGCAAGATAATGGTCCTGTTGCTTTTGGTTCACGTGCATTAACCAAATCTCAACAAAACTACGCACAAATTGAAAAAGAGATGTTTGCTATTGTGGCTGGTTGTGAAAAGTTCCATGAATATCTTTATGGTCAGACTGATGTCAAAGTTGAAACTGATCACAAACCATTAGAAACTATATTCAAAAAACCACTTAGTAAAGCACCAATGAGATTACAGAGAATGTTACTCCGTGTACAGAAGTATTCGCTCAATGTTGTGTATACTCCAGGGAAAAAGTTAGCCCTCGGAAGTCTCGCGGATACTTTATCACGTGCTTACCTCGATGAATATGAAAACAATGATGATGATGCCTTCACTGTGAACATGTTAAACATGGTGAATGTATCTGATGTCAAGTATGCACAAATACAAACAGAAACCAAGAATGATCCTGAGTTACAATCGGTCATGTCAGTTATAATGAATGGCTGGCCCGAGTCTAAAGCGCAATTACCAAGTCTAGCACTTCCTTATTTTAACATTAGGGATGAAATAACCTGCTATGACGGTGTATTGTACAAAAATGATTGTGTTATCATTCCAAAGTCTATGCGCTCTGAAATGTTGAAACTCATTCACAAATCATACCTTGGAATGCAAAAATGTAAAAACCGAGCAAGAGATGTCTTATTTTGGCCAGGCATGAATAGTCAAATTGAGGACATAGTCAAGATGTGTTCTGTATGCCAAATCAATAGATCACAAAACTGTAAGGAGACATTGAAGTCTCATGAAATACCGAATCGTCCTTGGTCTAAAGTTGGTTCTGATTTACTTGAGTACAATCAGCGTGATTATGTAATTGTAGTAGATTACTATTCCAAATATCCAGAATTGCAACTAATCAAAAACAAGACTAGTTCGTGTGTTGTGCAAGCAATGAAGTCAATATTTGCTAGGCATGGCATACCAAACCAATCCATCTCTGATAATGGACCGTGCTATGATTCTCAAACTTTCCGTCAATTCGCGAAAGACTGGGGTTTTGAACACAAGACGATTAGCCCTCATCATAGTCAGTCGAACGGTCAAGCTGAAAATTGTGTCAAAATAGTCAAGAACTTAATAAAGAAGGCTGAAGCAAGCCAAGATGATCCACACATTTCCTTATTAGAGTTCAGAAACACTCCCATAGATGGCATTGGTTTGTCTCCTGCTCAGATGTTATTTGGTAGGAGACTCAGGTCACTTCTACCTACACCTGAGATACTCTTGAAGCCAAGTCATCCGAATCATGTAAATGTACATTCAAAACTTGTTCAGAAACAGCAGGTTCAGAAGAAATACTATGATAGAAATGCACATGATTTGTCTCAGTTAGAAAATGGTGACAAGGTTCAGTTCAGACTCAAAGATCAATGGGTACCAGGAGTTGTTGATAAACAGCATAGTAATAGATCCTATATTGTTAAAACACCAAACAGAGTTTATAGAAGGAACCGTAAACATCTTATGCCTACTAGTGCTGAGCAAATCCAGCATAATCATGATCCAGAACAAATTCAGCAGAATGATTATTCAGAACATGGTACTCACACTAGTGTTACAAACCAGTGTGATCAGAACAATGACTCTGTTAAAACTGATTCATCTGTGAAAAATGAATCATCTACATCTACTACCAGTTCGCCAAAGAGTGTGATAGAGAGACGTTATCCTTTAAGGGATCGCAAACCACTTCACAGATTAGACTTGTAGTGTTAAGCAATGGTGATACATTGCAGTTTATCATATATAGTGTTTTGAACAAAGACATTTTTATGGACAATTTGATTTTTATTCAATAGTATGCTGAAAAGGATTCTTACATCTCTCATTTCATACATGTCTATATTTCTACATAAAAGTTTATTATAAGAGACTTTTGAGTATAAAGTTATCAGTGATTTTTGCTAAACATGTTTCCAAACATAAACTTAAAGGCCAATATAATTTTCATGAATGTTTCACATTGAGCAAACAAGGCCTATATATTTTCATATATGTTTCACATTAGGTATAAAAATAATCTTAAAAAGGGAGATGTAATGTCATTGTGTTTAACTACCTTAACTTTGATATACTATTTGTGTCGTGTCATGGCCCGATGAGCCAATCAGGTTATAGAAATAAATTCACTTCATAAACCCCGCATGGTTTGTTTTTGTCTACTAAATATTATAGTCCACATTTACAACTCTAGATTCATGGGCATGAGAGGGGGTTTGTGGGCCTCATGCGCACTCCCATTTGCCCTGAGCCCCACTTTCTTTATAAAACAAACATCCGGCCAGTCACAACCCCTTTTCTGAAAGATCAACAAACCAAAACCCAGGAAGAACCTCACTCTTAGAAAGATGACTATTTTCATGCGAATGTATACGAGCTATTTGATGAGTGTGCCTACTATATTCTGTAATTTGATTGGTTTGATGAATCTGTTTCTGTCTTGTGAACCCCCCTATACCCTTCGCCTTGAACCCTCCCCCCTCTTCGTTAAAATCCGCACCCCCAGGCCAGGGAAAAATTGAACCGCCCTTGGTAAATCATGGCTACTCCCTTGGAAAAGCATCAGAGAGTTGAAACAAGAGATAAGAAGGATGATTAGAGCCATTAAACATGATATCTGTGAGCATCTAGTCACCTGGTATGTTCAAATTAGACTCCAGAGTTGAGACTGGCAAGTTGAGGATCTTTTGTAAAATAACCATTAAATCGTGGTCATTTGAGATAGACCAATGAAACTTAATAGAATGAAAAAACATTGAACAAAGTTCAATTTTGCCAAATATGATTTTAAATGTTGATGATTAGAGCCATTAAACATGATATCTGTGAGCATCTAGTCACCTGGTATGTTCAAATTAGACTCCAGAGTTGAGACTGGCAAGTTGAGGATCTTTTGTAAAATAACCATTAAATCGTGGTCATTTGAGATAGACCAATGAAACTTAATAGAAAAAACATTGAACAAAGTTCAATTTTGCCAAATATGATTTTAAACCCATGCTGAATGACTGAGTTATTCACATTTGTTTGGGTTACATTTTTTGGGCTCATCCTGTACTTACTTCTCTAAACTGGAAAAACTGGCATCAAGAAGAGCATTTAAAAATATTTATTTTCAAAGGCATTTCAATTCACTACAACTCTGTGATGTTGTGAGATCTTATGAAATTGTTCATGCTAAAAGGAAACTTCCGGAAACTGAATAAATAAATTGAAATTGAACAAAAAACTGAACAGATATGTCTCTCTAATAGACAAACACTGGTCCTTGCTACCTCTTAAGACTCCAGTTTGCACAAGTAGTTACCATTTTGCTAGCCATTGGGTCATAAAATCAGCCACTCCCTGTAGTGAACACTTTTCATAAAATTAAAATCAAATGTCAAAAGTGTTCTCAATCCTATATATTTGTAATAAATGGTGTGCAATTATTGACAGTTGTGAAAATACATTGTTTTGGTGTTGGTTCAATGTCTCCTTTATACCCCATGCAGACAGATCGCCTAAAATTACATTCGTATGATGTGAGACTCGACATTCACCAGGAAATTAGAAACATTTTGTCACCCATGATGCAAATTTTTTACTGCTTAATAAATCATATGATGAATGACAGTCATATTAAGTTCTATAAGTATGAGAATGGCATGCCGTCTTGATATTTCAAGGTACCTCGTTCAAAAAATGACGATGTAAAGATAAAACCGCAACAAAATATTTGTAGATTTCATTGAAAAACTAAGAAAGATACATATCATATTGAATTTTTCAAAACAGAAAAAACATGTATAAATAGTGAGGCATGTAGTTACGATTCCCCCTGGTAGCATTAACATTGGTTACACATCATCAATTTAATGGTCATCTTTTGGATGGTAACATCATAATTTGAAATATATTTATATACTTTTCTCTATATTGTTTTAGAAAACACATGAGATAAGACACTTCTTTTGTTCTTGGTATCATATGTTCGGAATGAAATGAAACATCTATCCGAACCTCACTGGAATAAAATATTGTAATTGTACAAAGGAAAATTTGGTTGATTTTAAAAAAGTATCTTGTTAATGAAATAAAAGGTTGAACTTAATCTTTATCTATTTTGGGGGGTTTTGTTTTTTAAGTTTTTGCATACTTATTGTAAAATCAACCAAAATATCCTTTCAGGGTTCTCACTAGGCTTTTAGACTCCCGAGATTCTCAGGAGTCTAATGTCTTAAAACCCTCTTGCTCCGGAGTCTAACAGCTTTTCTGGAGTCTAAAGTGTTTTTTCCGGAGTCTAATTTTACATTTTTGTCACATTATTTGCAGTAAAACTCTTGAGAAAATACATAAAACTGGATACAAACAAGGAATAGGAAGTCAGAAACCTTTTAGAAATAAATATTGGGATTAAAATAGCAAGATAATCTTAAGAAGTATGTTGATATATTACTTATAGAATATCTCTGATCTCACATGGGGGAGAAGTTGTCGCCATACCGTGAAAAAAGTAGTCACAATACCGCTAAAAATCCGGGGTCTAAAAATTTCCTGGTGAGAACCCTGCCTTTGTATAATTATAATATTGAGAGGTCTTAGAAAATGTTGTATATGCTATTTTGTTCCAACAAGGTTCGGAAAGACATTTTATTTCATTCTCAAGAATTGGTAGAAAGGAACAAAAAACAATTGCACTAAAAAACAAAAAATGTTAACAAAAACAGTTATATAAATTATATATAAATGATTCTTGCATTAAATTGTTGCCAATCGCTCAACATTACATAAAAGACCGTGTTTTTTTACAGAATGTTTTCAATAATTGGTTTAAGAGAAAAACATTGTTGAATTCAGTTCACCATATCGATACCTATCCTTTGCTAGAAAATGAATAATTGACAACTAAAATATTAATCTGATGAATGACAGTTAATATTGAAACACCAACTGCACAATATGTAAATTAGCACCTACCAGTTACTAAGCAGAAGTTAGGTGCCTTAGTCACAGCTCCAAAGAATCGGATGATATTTCTATGGCTCAAAAGACTCAGAATCTGAGCCTGAAAGTAGAATGGATAATACAAGATAAAGTATTAACATCATAAGAGCAATTTGTCATCAAGAGAATAACTTTTACCAAGGCATTAGCATGCAAAATGTTACCACCTGCCATTTGTTACAGATGCTGACTGCAGACTGCCAAACCCCAACTACTGAATGCCAAACACTGTCCACAAATAAGTTAGAGACTATAACAATATGTCAGCACTTGTGGTGGTGACATAATAAAATAAGAACATCTTCCTGCCAATGATTTTACTGTTTCTGAAATAGTTCATGAAACGCAAATTGTTTGTTGGTCATCTATATCAGCATTTATGACAAGATGAAGAGTACAATAATCAAAATGAAGTTTGGATTCAATGCAAAGTTTTGAGTTATAATGTTTTCTTACTTCTTTTTCTAACACCAGGAGTTTCTTGACAGCAACTTCTTGGTCTATAGAAATCCACTTGGCCCTGTAAACGCTGCCAAATGAACCCCCGCCACATCTTTCAAAAAACTCCAAGTCTGAGAAATTTATCTCTACAAGGGCAGCAGTTGCCATATTTCCTCATCACATCCACCCCCAATGGGTGTTAATTACCTGTAAAGGAATGGCATCTGTGTGACATACATGAATGGCCAGTGGATTAATGACTTACTCTTCTTTTGGACATGAACTGTACATGGCAAATTTTGGGACTTCTGGACGTGGACTGACTGACTCACATATATATACAATTTCAACAACATCTTTCAACTACTTTTCCAGTTAAGGAAGAATGCCTTGACCTTGGAGCTTTAAAATTTCACTTTTTCAGACCTCAATCTGAACTCCCCAGGCCTCGAGCTTCCAGGTAGCTATTTGAGAGAATCAGATAGTGAAGATTTTGATCTTTATGCTTATGACTTACCAGCGCAATAATAAGATATTACACTGTAGTGATCTCCTCAGCAGCAATTGCGCTGCACCCACTTGAGATTTTGGTCATAGGCATGCACTAGAGCTGGCATTGAATAGGATTTTAATGTCGACATGTCGGAACTCTCTATCGACAACGATATCGACATTGTCGGGTCCAATGATATTCGAAAAATGAAAAAAAATTTGAAGAAAATCAATCTGAATTTTAGATTTTCTAGGCTTGTAATTAGCAATACGATGCACAATAGTCATCCTCAGTTGTATGTTTTATATTTAACTTACAGGTAAACCATGTTTAAGTATCAGACTTTGACGAAAAAGCAATAAATAGACATAAAACTACAATTTCTGTTGTTATTTCCGGGCAGCCATTGAAAATAAATCTCGAGGGTAAATCTCGAGGGGCTCCAAGACCTAATTCGAGACCAGGAAGTCGATCAAAACAAAAAGAAAATTTGAAAATGTAGGCAGTAAAACTTCACTAAAATACACCATACAGCAGGTAGTAACAAATATTTTAATTCATAGGGAAATAGCTTATCATGTTGTGAGTTCCGACTGTTGATCAAGAGGCGATGTGTCGACATGGGTGTCGCAGAGAGCATTCGACTGACAATCGACCATTCCGACATATGATGCCAGCTCTAGCATGCACCCACCTGAGAATCAATTTGCACCCACTTGAAAATGAGAAAAACATGAAAAATAGGCATATTTTTCCAAATTTGGTCTAAATTATGAAACTAGAAAAACAGCAACTCCACGGAGTAGAAAATCCCACCAAACAAAACATATTATGCTTATTATAGCTAGTGTAAATGTTGAAATGTTTGTGCACTTTGTGATAGAAGCATGAAATTTGGCACAAAATTAGTTTATACCATTGTGAACAAGGCATCATCATATAAAATTTGAACCTAATCCGTTTACTGGTATACGAGTTATCAAAGATTACGTTTTTTACGAAAATTGGCCGCCATCTTGAAATTCAGCCGCCATCTTGAAAGTTATTTCTTGAACAGAGCTACTGTGTCCCTAGGCATAACCATATAAAATTTCAACCAAATCTGTTCACTGGTATTTGAGTTATCAAAGATAACGTTTTTTACGAAAAATGGCCGCCATTTTGAAATTAAGCGGCCATCTTGAAAAATTTTTGTCGAACATAGCTACTGTGTCCCTAAGCATCATCATATAAAATTTGAACCAAATCCGTTCACTGGTATTTGAGTTATCAAAGATTACATATTTTTACGAAAAATGGCCGCCATTTTGAAATTAAGTGGCCATCTTGAAAATGTATTTTTGTGCGAAACTCCTTTGTCCCTGAGCATCAGCATATAAAATTTGAACCAAATCTGTCAACTTGTATTGAGTTATCAATGATTACATTTTTTACGAAAAATGGCGGCCATTTTGAATTGAGTGGCCATATTGAAAATTCCTTCTCGAGCAGAGGTCCTACACTCATAAGGCATAAGCCTATAAAATTTGAACCAAATCCATCAACTGGTATTGGAGTTATCGCCCAGACACACGGACAGATGGACGACTTCTCTATATCCCCCTCGAACTTCGTTAGGTGGTGGGATAATAAGAACTTTGCACCCACTTGAGATAAAATCCTGGGGAGAACACTGCACTCTCGATTAGATATATGGAAGAAGTAAAAATCCCCGGGAATTTCATGTATGGCAAAGTTTTCTTGCCAAATATGACTAATTTGCAACATCAGAACGGAGTATAATAATGGATAGGATTGTTATTGGAGAGTTTACGGTAAAGATCGCTAAATGAACCAAGAATCAATGAATAAATAAAATCAGTAAACAATATTGCAAAATTCCCTAGTGGAGCCCCGCAATTGAATGATATATTCTCCCCGATTATCTTTATTATTTCAGCTAGAGACCGTTCGATATCGATCTAATATTATACTGAAAGATATTTGTTTAATGATAGATCTTCATTTTCCATGTAAAATTGTAAGAAGGTTGAAGATGGCGGAACAATCACAGAGAACCAGGTCAACTAGAAAAACAGCAACTCCACGGAGTAGCAAATCCCACCGAACGGCAGTTGAGTTACCAAAGATTACGAAAATGAAAAATGGCAGTCATTCTGAAGATCAGCCGCCATCTTAAAAAAATTTTCTCGAACAGAGCTACTGTGTTTCTAGGCATCAGTATATAAAATTTGAACCAAATCTGTTCACTGGTATTTGACTTATCAAAATTTACGTTTTTCTTATAAAAAATGGCTACCATTTTGAAATTCAGCTGCCATCTTGAAAAAAATTTCTCGAACAGATCTACTGTGTCCCTAGGAATCATCATATAAAAATTGAGCCAAATCTGTTCACTGGTATTTGAGTTATCAAAGATTACGTTTTTTACGAAAAATGGCGTCCATTTTGAAATTCAGCGGCCATCTTGAAAATTCTTTCTCGAACAGATCTCCTTTGTCCCTAGGCATCATCATATAAAATTTGAGCCAAATCCGTTCACTGGTATTTGAGTTATCAAAGATTACCTTTTTTACGAAAAATGGCCGCCATTTTGAATATCAAGCCGCCATCTTGAAAATTCTTTCTTGAACAGATCTATTGTGTCCCTAGGCATTATCATATAAAATTTGAGCCAAATCCGTTCAATGGTATTTGAGTTATCAAAGATTACGTATTTTACGAAAAATGGCCGCCATTTTGAAATTCAGCGGCCATCATGAAAATTGTAACTCGAACAGATCTACTGTGTCCCTTGGCATCATCATATACAATTTGAACCAAATCCGCAAACTAGTATTTGAGTTATTAAAGATTAAATTTTTTACGAAAAATGGCGGCCATTTTGAATTCAGTGGCCATATTGAAAATTCCTTCTCGAGCAGAGGTCCTACACCCATAAGGCATAAGCCTATAAAATTTGAATCAAATCTGTGAAACGGTATTTGAGTTATCGCCCGGACAAACAGACGGACAGACGGCTTTCCTATATCCCTCTCGAACTTCGTTCGGTGGGATAATTATCGTTAAATGATCTAGTGGTTAATTGATAATGGCATTCCATCTGCCAGAGTTACGGAGACTGAATGATACCCAAATGAGAACACTGTGGTTCCAGACAGTTTGAGCCCCTCCATGTACAGCAAGGGCCACACAAAAATTCCCAAGAAAGCAGTTTCTTCGCTGTGTAAAGACATTGTGAGTGCCTCCTTATTCAACAGATTTGACAACCCAAACATTTTCTCTGGGGTGACTTCAAGAACCGTGTTTATGCTTATCCAAAGCCAAGATACATCGAACAACTTGAGACCAACATGTGAAGGCCTGTCATGACCGTGGTGATGTTTAAAGCCTATTATGACTGTGGCAATGGTTGCAAGGCTTTGATGACTGTGGTAATGTTAAAGTCAGGCTTTCACGATAACACTGCAACGGTCATGGCAGCACGGAGGGGTGACATTCTATCGAAACTCAGACATTATTTAAACTTGAGGATTGGAAACATGAATTGAGTTGATCAGCAGCTTACTTTTGTTCTCTAACTATGTCATACATCGTTATCATCCTTTTGTGCAAATATTGGAGGGCTGAAGTGCTTCCTTTTTGATCAAAACTTGTAATTGCTAGTCAAGTGAATGTTTTTTCTGCCAAATTCCAACATGGTGTTTTCTGTTCGGACATTTTCGTAAATCTCCGGAGGTTGTCCGAACCAAGCTCATTCTCAAAATTCATTTTGTTCATTGCGTATCTCACTCGTAGCAAACCAGTCAAATAGTAGAATCACTGAACAAAGACCAACTTTATTCAGTATACTTAAGTCAAGACTCAAAGAATTTAACAGTGACTCGAGAGATGTAATTTTTGAGAAAGAGTTCCAACCGAGCTCACTGTTCCCATCCTACCTTGTAAATTCTCAAGAAGGATGCTCTATTTCTAGAATATCAAAGAAAGAGCAATGTGAAATCATCACAAATAAAATACAAATCTTGGCACAAATGATATACATGTAATTGTATTTTCTGATGGTTCTATCCTTAAAAACCCTGGTCCTATGGGAGCCAGCGCGATTGTATTTTTAGCAGGTTACGTAAATCTGAGCCAATATGTCTAAAGAGAGCGGTTAGCAATAAGAGCAACAACTTCTGTGGTGAAATTCAGGCTTTACACCTGGCACTTGAATTCCTTAATTCCACTTCTACAAGTCACTCTTAAATACATAATTTTGGCGATTACCAACCAGCACTGTTGAGCACCTTCACCAGCACCAAACCCAGAACTGAATCTCAATGTATTCAAAATAGCAGGCTCCTGGCCTTTAATTTAAGTGAAAATAACAATTCTCTGATATATTACTGGGTCCCTAGTCACCTTGGTATTTTTGGTAATGAACTTGCAGATACATATGCCAAGCGAGCAGCAGAGGAAGCAGCGTCCCTGCCAGACACCACTATAACTCAAAGTAAGGAAGAATCCTACAGTTGTATCAGAAGAACTGCATTAGTTAAATGGCAGATAAACATGAGAGCTATTCCAAGGTAAAAACACACCCAGAGAGTTATTGACACTGTAGGTACCGACAACAAATTACTTGAAAACAGAAGAGCTGAATTCTGTAAAATTAACCAGATAATAGCAGGTCATACCAATCTGAACAGCCACATGGCTAAAATAAGACTTGATGTTAGCAAACTATGCCCTACATATAACAAAGTAGAGACAGTGAATCACTATTTGTATGACTGCTCCATGTACACTGAGGAGAGAGAACAGATGTTCTTCTCCATTGAAAAAGTTCTATTAGTAGCAAAAGTGAAACCAGCAGTGGATATAAAGCTATTGACTGGAATGAATAAATCTCTTACTAGAGAACAGAATACATACATTAGATCATATCTAATGGATTATGTAAAGAAAACAAATAGACTGTAATAACATTAAAAAACAACAGATAGAGACTGTATGTAAATAATGTAAAATAAACAATCTGAAACAAGGAAACAATTAAGAAAGAGTACTAAGTATAATAATAAAGTAAAACTCATAAACTATAAAGCTGTGCAACAAGTGAAAAGAACAGAGTGAGAGCACCGAGAGACAAACAAAGTACACAGTGACCAACTGCTGAGGAAAAAGCAGCATTAAATGCACTACAACAACAAACCGCCATATTGGAAATGGGTCAAAAAAACATTCACTCGATGAACAATTTAGCACTTTAAAGTTATTAATTAGTATAAATTAATACGCTTGAATGTGCTGTGGTCAATCTCAACCTATAACCGGGCCTATTGTACCGTTGCTTTCAACTAGTAAACATGTTTCGTGTCATGGAAAATGCACGCTGGAATTTAAAAAATTCTCATTTTATGTAAGTAAATCTGAGGTTTATCATTATTGATAACTTTGAAACAGTAGTATTGATAGTTTAGATAACAACATTTGTATCAGAAAGTTCTAATCATTTAGATAATGGAGTCAGAAAGAGAACAAGTTTGTTCCGTTCAAGAAAATCAAGATGGCCGAGGTCATGACACATACAGTGACAAAGGCTTAGATAGCCGGTCTAGAGGCTTAGATAGCCCTGATGAAAACAATAATGGCATAGATAGTCGACAAGCTAACAAAGGTCTTGATAACCAAAAGCATGTTAGGAAAAACAAGAGGAAAACACTTGAAAATGTAGATCATCTTGAAAAAAGTGTCAAAAGAAAGAAAAATGATGACATCATTAGCTTTAGATCAGCTGGAGGTTTGGATTCATTTAAAATTCCTAAAAAGAAACATAGAACAAAATCAAGGAAATATGATACATCATCTAGTAGCTCAGATGATAGTGATAGTTCGAGCTCAAGCTCAAACTCAAGCTCAGATTCTAGCACTGACAAATCATTTTTTGATCCGTTATTGGAGTCTAAAAAGAACCAGTGGAAGTTGGAAAAATCACACTCTGCCTTTATAAAAAAATATTGGGCAGAAGAAACATTGACTAGAGAAACGTATGATTAAATGGTAGACAAGGTTCCGTTACCAAAGTGTGAAACTTTGAAAGTGCAAAGAGTAAATTGTCAGATTACAAAACTTTCGAGTAAAGCTGCTAATAAAAATGACAAGCATTGGCAAACAGTTCAAAACAAACTGATAGATGTTATGGGTCCTTTGTGCACTATTTGGAAACTGTTAGAGTCTAATGATCTGGACAAGAAAATGATAAGCACACTTATTCAAAAAGCAATTCTTATTGCGGGTCAAACAAACCAAATGTTATCTTATTATAGACGTTATGAGCTTTTGGCTCCAATATTGAGCTTTGACAAACGAGAAATCAATGAGTTTCTCAGAATCAATGAAAAGAGGTTCATTAAAACACCAAAAGAGTTGTTCGAAAAGAAAAGTTTCAAAGAGCCAAAGAGAGAAAAGACATGGCATATCTGAGGAAGAACCTTAAAAGTGATAAATCTACAGGTTCAAGGTATTTTAACAAGCCCTTTCGTGGGGGCCACTCTTCAAGTACCAATCAGAGAAACCAGCAAGGAGGGTGGCAAAGCCACTCTGACAAATCCAGAGGTAGTGGCAGAGGTCGAGGCTGAGGTAGAGGCACAGCCAGAGATGCTGATAAAGACCAAAGCTCAAACAGGTATGTTGACAAATCAATTAATCAGCTTAAGTCAAGTATCCCAAACTGGACAGAAGCAGGACACAAATCAGGTAGATCAGGTAAACATTTTGTTGAAACTTGGGTTTCAGAAAATACCACACATTTTCACAGTAGGGGCAAGACTGCCAAAATTCATTCAAAATTGGCAAAAGTCACAAAAGATTCAGAAATTCTAAACATAGTTCGAGGCTACAAAATCGAATTCACAGCAAAACCACCAATGAACAATCATATATCATGGCCTTGCTTCAACAAGACTCAAAATCAAGCCATAGACTTAGAAATAAAAAAAGTTGATAGAAAAAAATGTATTAGAAATTGTAAAGTCAAGCAAAGATCAACACTTGTCCCATCTGTTTTTGAGGGAGAAAAAAGATGGGTCTCAAAGACCAATATTGAACCTAAAACCTCTGAATCAGTATGTGAAATATCAACATTTCAAAATGGAAGGGTTAGCAATGTTAAAGAACTTAATACAGCCCAACAACTTCATGATAAAGTTGGATTTAAAAGATGCGTACTGGGGTTCCTGATAATTTGGGAAAAATCAGTGATTCAACCTTGCCAAAAGATAGAGTATCTAGGTTTCATTGTGAACTCAATAGACATGAACATGAAAGTTCCCCCAGAGAAAGCAGAATCAATCAAGCAGGTATGTCACAATTTGTGGAAACAACAATTCACAACAGTCCATCATTTAGCCATGGTAATAGGCAAACTGTCGGCATGTACAATGGCAATAATCCCAGCTCCCCTCCATTATCGTCACCTTCAAAGGTTGAAAACTCAAGGGTTAAAAATTTTCAATCAGTCATACTCCTCGGTTATCAAAATGACAACACCAGTAAAGGAAGAACTTATGTGGTGAGAGCAAGAAATAGACAATTGGAACGGGAAAGCAATCAAAGTGACAGACCCGGTCATAATAATAACCACGGACAGCTCTCTAACTGGTTGGGGGGCGGAGTCACAAGGGAATGTCATTCAGGGACAGTGGAGTTTGAAAGAATCAAAGTAACACATAAACATATTAGAATTGAAAGCCATAGAAATGGCAGTCAGGTCATTCACCAAGAATCAAATAAATTGTCATATTCACATAAGAACAGACAACAAAACAGCATTAACATACATAGACAAGATGGGGGGAACAAAGTCACTGAATCTGCTAGAAAGGAGTCAGGAATTATTCAAATACTGCCTCATGAAAAGGATCACCATTACTTCGGAGTACCTCCCCGGCAAATCAAACCTGATTGCAGACCAGGCATCAAGGAAATATCAAGAATAAGGTGCATCAAATTGGATGCTGGAGAAGAGCATTTTCTCACAGATAGAGAAGGAGTGGGGAACAGCACATATAGACTTGTTTGCAGACAGACTGAATGCTCAGAAAGAGATGTATTACAGTTGGAAAATGGATCCTCATGCAACAGCGATAGAATTGGAGCATGAAGCTATTATATGCCTTTCCACCATTTTGCCTGATACAACGGACACTGGCAAAGGTAAGGAGACAGTCAGCAGTACTAATTCTCATAGCTCCAACATGGCAAACAGCAGCTTGGTACCCTCAGCTGTTGGAAATGGCTGTGGAATGTCCAATTTTAATTCCTTCTCATCAAAATCTATTGACATTGCCACTAGGTCAGGTACATCCTTTAATAGAACAGAGCAGTCTAACCTTAGCGGCTTGGAGGATATCAGGAGTTAGTATCAAAACCAAGGCTTTTCAGAGAAAACTTCAGAAATGCTTATTAAAGCCAGAAGGACATGTACTAGATCTGCTTACAATGGCCCCTGGAAGGTCTGGGTTAGCTGGTGTGGTAAACAAGGTTTTGATTCCATTTCAACCACTGTGGTCAATGTAGCTTATTTTCTGACAGAAATGTACCAGGAAGGTAAGTCATACTCTACTTTAAACACATATAGATCAAGCTTGTCAGCATATCTCAAACCAATAGATGGTCATAAGGTAGGGCAACATCCCAAAATTCATGATTTAATGAAAGTTTTTTTCAATGAAACCTACCAAAGCCTAGGTATCAAAACACATGGGAAGTCAACAGAGTATTACAATACATTCAAAGCCTGGGTGAAAATAAGTCTTTGAACAGAAAGCAGCTGTCAGGTAAATTGGCAATACTCATGGCACTTACAAGCATATGTAGGGGATCAGAACTGCATAAACTAAATCCTAAATTGTTTCTAGATAAAGGCTCTGAAATCATTGCTCAGCTGGATGGTTTATCGAAAACAGCAACTCAGTCGAGACCTTATACAAATTTAAAGTTCAAGGAATTTGAAGAAAATCAATATCTTGACGTTGTCAAAACAGTGAAAACAAAACTAACACAAACTCAGTCCGTCCGGAAAACAGAAGAACAAAAACTGTTCTTATCTAATGTCCAACCCTTCAATCCAGTTAAGGCCTGTACCATAGCAGGATGAATCAAACAGGTAATGAAAGATGCTGGGATTGATACAGGTATTTTCAAAGCACATTCAACAAGGGCAGCATCAACATCTAAGGCCTGGGTATCAGGCTTGTCAACTAGTCAAATTATTGAAACAGCAAATTGGACTAATGTTTCAACTTTTTACAAGTTTTACAAGCGAGAAACTAACGATTTCTCTTCAATCGTTCAGAGGTTAGTAACTTTTAACATGCATCAGTGAACTCTAATAAGATCGCTGCGAAATTAATTTCTTTAATTTCTTAAGATATCTCGCCAATGAATTGTAATTTCATGAGCAAATCTTATTAGAGTTCACTTACTCCCACCCTTTCCCACCCTCATATCGCTAATTATTGCTTTATGATTTCAGGACGTAACCTCAGACAATCCAAGAGAAACTACTAGTATGATGAAGACTAGACTTTAAGAGATAGGACTCTATACCTTGTTTAAGTTTCGCTCAAACTGACATATCTACGGAATATAAGAGCGCAGTGTATTTGGATTTCCCAGGCAGGGATAGAGATTTATTTATTGGCTCTCCCAAGTAGGGATAGAGGAATCAGTGTTATTGACACTCCCAGGATGGGATCAAGACTTCACTCTGTATATAGACTATACTTTCCTATTATTGAGGATCAAGTTTTTTACGAAGGCCCCCAACGAAGTGGGCGGAGCCATTCGTTCTATGGACCGACTGTCGACCAGTCACGTGACCCAAAGTCTGCCATTATTACCTTATATGGCAAATCATCAAAGCAACGATCACGACGTCATATGTTGTGTTTGTGATGAAGATATGACGTAATATTACATAAACTATGACATCAGTTACTTATTGCCCTATCAACTAAACAGACAAGAAAGCTAAACGTCACACATCACAGTGTTTATTATATTTTTAATTTGTGACGTCAACATGTTACCTAGCTAACAGAAAACAAGCAGTAAAATGTAGTTTGTTCATTGTCTTTCTCTGTGGTAGCCTATTTCCATAAAAAGTGGATCAGTTTTGTCAAAATAGCATTATGATTTTTCTTTACTTCGGTCCAAAGCCTTCTCTATATTCCGGCTTTGAGGAGGAAGATTGAGCTGCCTTAGTATTATAAATATTGTAAATCATTGTGTCACACGCACAGTAAATATGGCATAATAATATGAAATATACCTTTATGTATAGATTTGAAGAACATCAGCTCACATCCCCGTCTGAATCTATTTGATTTCTTTAAGCGAGAATAATTTCAAATATTGAATTCACGTCCAGAACCGGAAGCCATTTTTAGCTACAGCGAGAAAATTCCACCATGTGTCAAACTCCGAAATGAAATTTTGAAATATCTAAATCCAGACAAGCAACGCTTCATCCTAAATATAATTAATATTCTTAGAAATATTTATAAAATTTATTAAAAATGAATTCTAGGTGCGTGTAGGTGCGTGTAGCACAGTACATACGAAATCAATGAAGTTACGTCTAGCAGTAAGCTACTATTTTTTTCAAGGCCTGTCTGCGTCGCTAACATGCTAAATATAAGAGTTAGCTGACGTTTGGGAGTCTGACTTACCTTCTAAAGGTTAGAACCCGAATCTTAATGAAACTATATCACCTTTGTTGCGTCGATGATGATGCATAAACATAGCATTTGATAGAAATTAGCGTAAATGCTTTTCCGACTTTTTCATTTTTCATCAATGTTGACTTCCGGGAAGGCGTTGTAGTTATCACGAAATAACGCATTGACCCTTGAACTTTACTTTGTTGACGTGTCAACCAAGCATGTCTGGTGTGAAAATTAAAAGAATATTAAGCAATGTTCTACATCCGCCAAGCTGAGTGAAGTAGTCAATATTAAAAATTACCAATTTCAAGTGAAGTACGCAACGAACGAAACTGTGTGATCTACACTCCCACTATTGGTCTGAATGAAATGCTACGTAGAAATATGAGCCGTCTGCTGTATTAGTCGATTAATAGAGAAAGACCTGTTGGTGATGCTTTATAATTTAGACCAAAACATTGAAGAACAAACGAACCTGTAAATCGTGAAAACAACGAACAAATATTCGGTTTTCACATATGTTCGGTAATTTTTCGTATTGAAACTTCCGGAACTTACAAGGAAATCATTCATTTTCTCGATCCATGATTTACCTCTTGGATGTTGTGGCAAATGCTCCATGGTTGACGGAACAAAGGTGATATGGTTTCATTAAGATTCGGGTTCTAACCTTAAGAAGGTAAGTCAGACTCCCAAACGTCAGCTAACTCTTATATTTAGCATGTTAGCGACGCAAACAGGCCTTGAAAAAAATAGTAGAGACTCGAGTAAATTTTTCTAGTGTCATTTTGATTTTCACTTGATTTTCTTGTTGTTCATGCATGTTCAACTCTTTTCTTAAAGAAATTCAGTGCAAATGAGCTAAAAATAGTTGATATGTATGATGTCTAATAAGAAGGAAATTTCAAAAATGCTTTCATCTTGCAAACTAATTGTTGGATTCGCTAAAGTAACATAACTTACCAGCTTCTGACCCACCTGAATCAGAATGAAATTGTGAAACTGTATATGCCGTAAGTGACCAGCTGCGAAATCAATGTCGTAATTAAGATGCATTTTAGTTTTTTAGTTTTTATCAATAAGATAATATTTTTATTTAATTAAGAAAATAAAATAGAATCTAAATTAGATTTCAATTCATTAGTGTACAAAAATATTATATATCAATTCTGTAAACATACACACATCAGAATAAAGTTTAGTAGTCTCAGCTTGCAGTCACCTAGCAACAAGAACACATCCGCCATATTGGAAATTTACTTGCAACTTTTTCTCGTTGAAATATTAATGAATTTCGTGATAATAAAGAAAAGAAAGGCTATCATGCTTTAATCAATTTGTCTTTAGACAATGGTGATTCAATAGAAGCAACAACTGATTTAAAAAACACAGCAAATGGCTGACACACAGGTAGGCAAAGTTTGCATCAACATTTAATTTTTTTTTAATTTCATGATGATGATGCACGGATAGTGGGAAGTCCTCCATCTAGGAGGTATGTACACCAGGTTATGCGGCTAAAAATTAAAAAATATGAAAAAAATATAGTCACTTGTCCTCTAGATTCAATTTTTGAATGAATTGTAGCATAATGTACAGATTATTTGATATCATGCTATTCTTGAAACATTTATACGCAAAAATAACTGGGTTGCTCACCTCTTATGCCTATATGTGTTCAGTAATCATCAATTCTCGTGAGTAAAATTTCTCCAGGCCATTGAAAGGTCCGCTCAGTAAATTGACAATTTCTACTGCGCATGTGTCATGGGTTGTGAAACACTGGACGAAATGGTTTGGTAAATTTCAAGCTATTTGATTGGTCGAAAAAATCACGCGCCTTTGCGTGATTTGCTTTATTCTCGCGAGATAAGGCGCTCCGTCCCCTTAAATTTTTATTTTGAACAACCATTATGATTTGGTGCATTATCTGACCAATAAAGCAGATTTGGAGGTATGAATATTTTTTTTATTTTTCTGTTTAGTGTTTTCTACAGGCCCTATGTGTCTCAGGATATTTGTTTAACGAAAACTAGACAAATAATTTATTTTAAAAATACATATTTTTTATTTTGGATGGAAGCTGCGTAACCTGACAAATAATATAAGTAATATATGGAGGACTTCCCATAACCATGTGATGATGATCATGATGTTTTAGCCTAGATCTTTTACTAGGTCTTTATTTAGCCAAATAACTAGAGGCTCTATTATTTGATAGACTAGCCAAATATTGAGATACTAGGAACCCAGTACTGATCCTAGGCCTCACTAGTAACTAGACATAGACTATATCCTATTTAGTCTGAATTATATTCAGACTATAAGGCACCTATTAGAATTGTTTTCATGGCCTGAGTTCGTCGCTAACATGCTAAATATAAGAGTTAGCTGACGTTTGGGAGTCTGACTTACCTTCTAAAGGTTAGAACCCGAATCTTAATGAAACCATATCACCTTTGTTGCGTCGATGATGATGCATAAACACAGCATTTGATAGAAATAAGTGTAAATGCTTTTCCGACTTTTTCATTTTTCATCAATGTTGACTTCTGGGAAGGTGTTGTAGTTATCACGAAATAACCCATTGACCCTTGAACTTTACTTTGTTGACGTGTCAACCAAGCATGTCTGGTGTGAAAATTAAAAGAATATTAAGCAATGTTCTACATCCGCCAAGCTAAGTGAAGTAGCCAATATTTAAAATTACCAATTTCAATTGAAGTACGCAACGAACGAAACTGCGTGATCTACACTCCCATTAGGGGCGGGGTCAAAATATCGATGTTCATATGGAGACGAAAGTACTTTCGCGAGGGGGAGGGGGTTTTTGGGCACTTTCGTTGACCAAAAAAACATCGATAATTCGGATCTGATATACAAAAAATAATTGGACTTACCCACTTTTTCTGGCGCTATATTCTGATAAAAAGGCTTGTTTTCAATAGTTCGTGAGCTTTTTTGTGTGATAGGTCCAAAATATTGGTAGATAAAGACGATAATTCGATCATTTTTCAAATAAATTCCGTACTTTTCCCTCCTCCTTTTGAAGAGTTCAATGCAGTTAAATTGCGAACGTGTGTTAATTCACCGTAATAATAACCTTGCAAATAGGATACGATTATTAATCAATGTTTTTTTGAAGTGACCTAAGCTTTCGTCTAGAGGGGGGTGGGGGGTTGTTGTCCAAACGAAATTACTTTCGTCTCCATATGAACATTGATATTTTGACCCCGCCCCTTATTGGTCTGAACGAAATGCTACTTAGAAATATGAGCCGTCTGCTGTATTAGTCGATTAATAGAGTAAGACCTGTTGGTGATGCTTTATAATTTAGACCAAAACATTGAAGAACAAACGAACCTGTAAATCGTGAAAACAACGAACAAATATTCCGTTTTCACATATGTTCGGTAATTTTTCGTATTGAAACTTCCGGAACTTACAAGGAAATCATTCATTTTCACGGTCCATGATTTACATCTTGGATGTTGTGGCAAATGCTCCATGGTTGACGGAACAAAGGTGATATTGTTTCATTAAGACTCGGGTTCTAACCTTTAGAAGGTAAGTCAGACTCCCAAACGTCAGCTAACTCTTATATTTAGCATGTTAGCGACGAACTCAGGCCATGAAAACAATTCTAGTATGTATCCAACAGATCGAATATAATATTCGGTCTGTTATGATTGATACCCTTGGCATGGAAATCGCGGCGATATTTTGTTCACATAAATTTCTCGTTTATTGAAACTTGAAAATTGCTGAATATGTTGAAGAGATGTTCATCTTAAGGTACAGCTGGAAAGTAACATTTTGGTAAAAAATTGCTATACCTGCATATGTTATTTTCTGGTACAAAATAAAGTATGAAGGCATGTGTCAATTTCCTTGCTTTTTTCAGGAAAGTATCATTACATTGTCTTCTTTTAGAATATGTGGTAGGCGTTCAATGAGAACTCAGGGAAATTCTGATATTTCACACTTTCTATTTTTCCAAATTTTCTTTCAAAGTTTCCAGACAACACAGAAGCTACCATTGACCTGTTTCCAGATATTCTAAAAGAAAACAGTGTAATGATACTTTCCTGAAAAAAGCAAGGAAATACACACATGCCTTCATACTTAATTATGTACCAGAAAATAACATGTGCAGGTATAGCAATTTTTTACCAAAATGTTACTTTCCAGCTGAACCTTAAACTAGAAGCAAAAATATTTGTATAAGGCGGGTACAAGTTGATATAAAATAATGAAATGTTCAGACTCACCAAAACTTCAGGATGTGTTCATAAGTAGATCGCGAAATCAATGTCAAGGACGTTTGAGTTCACAAGATCCAAACGAGATATGCAAATTTTTGAACTTTGACTTTTAACTTCAAACACATGACCACTTGATTACCTCGGCCTTCTTCATGAATATTTCCGCTCTATTTACTATAAATGACGAAAATTAATCGGGATAATGATAATAAATGACTAGATCTAATAAATTCCCGCACAAATGGAATTTATCAATACGCTTCCGTAATGTTGCTCCGTCCGCTCCACGTGTTATTTGTTTACAAATAGACTGACGTCACTGGCTAAATCTCATTTATCGTGAGAATTGGCATTGCCAAAATGGCTTGACCTAATCAATGGCTTCGCTACAAGAAGCGTCTGTACATTTTATGAATATCTTCAGTAAGAGGACAATATACGAAAAAATAATATGGTAAGTTCTTTATAAGGTAATCATTTTATCATTAAACAAACTTATTTGCAACATTTATACGACACCACATTTTACAATAGGTGACTTACAGTCTGAATTTATTCAGACGAAGGATACAGTCTAAGGCACCTATTTTAAAGTTTGGTAATTCTAAATATTTGTTTACATAGGAAGTGCTATTCAAAATGGCTGATTGGGTAAAATTAATTTGCACATTTGTTACTTCAACTAGCTTTATTTCCACTTGACAATATGCGGTGTTACTTTTTATTGCATTTAATTGTACCTTACTACTTCATTGAAATTTTGTTATGTTTATTTTATTGAAGAAATGGTTCCTCCAATTGATAATTTTGTGCAAATCATTTCACTGCAATTTCCACAGGAAAGTAGTACATCATAACAGACTGACTTCTAGTCAGTCTGTTGGATACATACTAAACTAGACAATTCTATGCTGGGTCACCATCAACTTGTCTATACCATTCTCAGCATGAACCTTGTCAATGATAAAAATCCATTTATTTTTTCATTTTGCCCTGTTATTCAATTTTTCTCTATATGAGGTAACTTTGGCCAACACGATGTTCACCTTTGGTCAGAGAGCTGAGTAGAGTTATGTCCAATTAATTAAGCAGATCGTTGTTCCCTCTTCAAAAGAGGAGATGCGAAAATCTTTCCTTATAAGGTCAAAATATTTCCCATGGTGCAGTTCGTGGAGGAACAAATTTATACTTCCTCGTTTTCCCCCTAGGTTTAACATGGGGATTTTCACACCTATTTTTCAAACCATATATTCGTTCATATTCCCGAACTCGAGCTCAGAAAAAATTATCAGAACAATTGATCTCTTATTAATCTTAATAAAACAGATTTTTTTTCATTGTATTCGTTCATAGCGTGGTGAAAACTATGATTGAAAAGTGAGAAAATATTCCGGAAGAGAAGGTCACGTGATCAGTTGACTAGTTGCCATATTAGAAAGAAAAAAATTCCAATTCGACTTTCAACTAGTGCTTGCAACGGTAATGGATCTCACTGCCGGTAAATTTCACCTCCATTACCTTACCGTTACCGATAATCGTTGATACTGATAATGTTCCTAAAATCCCGGGGAAAAACCTGAAAGTGAAACTAAAATATTTGGAAAAATCCTTAACGAAGCCGATTTCTCAGCTTGATTTCCCGCTCACATCAACTACAGTGGATATATTGTATCATCGTGTATCTCGTGTGTGATTGTGTATTGTTAGGAAGTCTTTGAATGATAATATAGAGTGAATTCGATCAAGATTGATCAAACTATTTGTGTTTGTTTTTACTTCACCGAAATATCACGTCACGTGATTTGTTAATCTCGCGGCATGGGAGATGATTGACAGAAGTGGGTGGGGTTTTGCTTATCCTCCCGCCTTTTACGAATGCTTTGCACTTGATTGACAGATTAGCTCTTCAAATGTGGAGATTGAAATATACATGATTGATAAAATATTCTTAAACGAACATTATTTCGTAAATTTGACAATGGATCGCAATGCCAATCATCATGTTGCAGCAGCATGGCGATTATCGGCAATGGATTTTATTACCGGCAATTGAGAGTATCTACTGCCGCTGCCGACAACTCGGCATTACCGTAAGGCACTACTTTCAACACTTCCATGACAATCTTACCACACAGCAAACTGAAACATCGATGCAACAACTGAATAAAAGTACTCGTCTTTAAATTTCATTATAGAGTTACATTGAAAACCCACAAACAACTGAGCAGTTGACCAAAGAAGACGCATCGCTATTATCTAGGTCAATCTGTTCAGTGGTTCGAAAGCAATTCTATAGTACTCGATTCCCAATTTTGTTGTTCATTGAACAATCTTTTAGTGATTAAACTCGGTATACTGACTATTAAAGCAATGACAAAGAAGAATACTTCCAATGGTGTCATTGTTTTATTTAGCGTGTGGGTGTTAAAACAAATTTGCGTAATTAGTTTGATTTAGAACTTTCGGGTCACGCAAATAGCTACGCAAAATGCATCGTGGGAAAATATTGACCAATCAAATTTAGTCCTTTTTGAGTACATATTTGCTCCATATTTGCGAACATTCCGATTCAAAGAGCGAACCGCGAAATGGAAAATTGTCTTCTTCTTATCCTCTAAATTTCAAAATGTTGGATGATCCTAAAAAATCACACGACATGACAAGTCATTATATTTTATAAACTTGACTATCATACTTGAGATTGTTAATTACATTTATTACATTATGTGAAGTTACATATGTTTAGAATAGTTTGTAAACTGGATTATCACATTTGAATCTGTTATAATCTTGGATATTTATCACCCCTTCACTATAGTTCATTCATCGAATTCTGGCAATTTCTTGGAACTCTGACATCACTTGAACAGAGGGTGAGACAAAACTTTTTTCAAGAAAATATTTGACCAGCTTTCTATCTTTTGATTCATTTTCTAATATTTCCATTACTAGCTATTTAAAAGCTAAACACCAGGGATTCACATAAGTAAGTACACTGAAGGATTTAATACACACATTTGAATTTTTCAAGAAATCCATTTTTTTGACTGACGAGGTACAGACTTTTAATGGTACAGATGTACATGTAGCTCTTATTAGAGCAAATAAACAACAATGTGACAAAGTTATTCCATATGTCAAAGTTACCTCAAATTGAAATAAAATGTTACTGATGTCGTTATACCTCTTTGCCCTATTTATTAGGCTAGCTCTACATGTAGGCATACATTTTTGTTTTTAGTCACCCCGGGCTGGTGGAAGTAGAGGAAAGGGAACCAGTGATCCAATCAAGTTCTTACCAACTCTACCAGCAAAACGCAGTAAACCTCAATGGCAGTCAAACCCACCATCTTTCTTCCTAAATGGTAAACCATCAGAGGATAAGGATAAAAATGGAATCGATTTAATAGGAGAACTCACATCAAGTAAGATGTGTTTTTCTTGTATTGGAAACAGTTGTATGTTGATTATAGAAAATATATCACAATAGTGTTACAAATGAGTCTGTGATGTAACATTTCATTTGATTTTGTTTGAACACTTGAATATACATGCAATACAGTAAGATTTAAATCAAGGGTATAACTATATTATTGAATGTACCAATTTTTTTTATTGAAACTTGAGTTGAGGATGTGTCGGTGGAAGTGTTAGAAATAACATATGAAGATGAGAATGGTAGGTTTTCACTAGCGTTGAATATAATCACAAGTAGTTGTAAATAGAACCCTGGTATATCTACTTACACATACATACAAAGCTGGAGTATAGAATGCATGGTTCGGATATTGCATGGACAATAAAAATCATTGCACTTAACATTTTTTTTATTGATTTGCAAGGCCCCATTCCCACACATTCCTAACCAGTAGTGAAATTAAATCCTATCATTTAAAAGTGATTTAGATATGAGAGTGATCAGATTCCAAAGATAGTTCAAGAGTTCTATAATGTGGACTAAATATGGACTAAGCATTGAAAATCGAAACTATCACAATACCCAAACAGCACATACCTCATTTACCTGACCCCTTGGAAAATAGGACTTCTAAAATTAGTTATTTCATGACAAAGTCAGCTATGCAGCAAGTATTTCAAAGCTGTGAGAATATTCAAATAAAAGATATTCTAAATCAAAAAGTCATTTCAAAGGGTCAGGTTTGTAGTATACAGTTCATACATAAATGTATTCATCAAAAATAGATTTGTACAGCAGTTATCTGCTTGGTGTGTGTTGATGTTGTGTTTCCCTGGGTAGTAACAGGAATTAGGCTGATCACTTACCAGTGGTTTTGATGAATAATAATTGATGAGTTAAACTTTTATTACATTTTTCTATTCTATTTTCAATTCTGTTGAAATTATAAGAATTAGTTAAGTAGATGTAACTGTTATTGAATTGAAACTAAGTCTGAATTTTTTAAGGAGATACAAAAAGAAGTAAAAGGAACCGAAGCAAGACCTGGGATTCTCCAAACACTAACCAAGCCAATGGAAACCAAAGTCAATATGCACATCCTAAAAAGGATCGAGAAAACTTCCGTAAGGCACTTGTGGACATCATCATGCAGGAAGAGGACCCTCCCAAGCCTGCATCCCCTGAAGGGGACCTACCACCCCTCTCAAGGACTGGCTCACCCACATCTGCGGAAAAGGACATTCTGGTGAGTGATTTACATGTGGCAAACATTGGTTTTAAGTCTTAAAGGGTTATGTAAACCATCCCTTATAAAGAAAGTATGGCTGCTCCAGACGAGTCTATGATGGATAAGTCTATTTAAGAAATAAGGGGAGTTTGGGAAATTCCAGTTCTGAAATTGTCTTCCTGAAGATAAAACAATCCATTGAAAGGATCACAATCTGTAAATATTGAGAGAGTGAATTATATCCAAAGGATGCACAAGCTAATATAAATCCTTGTATTAGTCCAAATTGTTATGTTTCATTTACAGGACATTTCATAAGACCATGCTTTGTTCTAATACTTGAAAGGTAAATCAAGATATCAATTTTTACCTCCCGGGTTTTCACTGTAAACACAAATAGAAACTTCACCAATTAAAGATGAAACTGATTTGTCAAAATAGAAATTTCTTTTTTTTAAATGTGTGACGATATATACATGTACTTCACTATTGGTACATAAACAGTAAGAGGTCTTTGCACTTAGACCTTAACCCTTGTACTCTTGAGAATTTTCTGGGATCACACCTTTAATACTAAACAGTGAGACATTATATCACTATATTCAGATTCATTTTTGATACATTCAAGCATTGCCTTGCAATTCGAATATATCATTTCAAGGTTTTTAATTGCAAACATGAATATTGAATGATTTGCGTTAGATGTTTAGCCCAGCTTTCTCGTGCCCAGTGATCGTAAAATCGGAACAGAGGGGAAAGTAGGCAATTTCTGCTAGAAAATTCAAGAGAAAGTTCACTATTGAATTGCTTTATGAGTAGGTGCACGGCATGGTAAAATATGTTACGTCTTCTAGGATTTTTTTTGGACCAATGTAATAAATTTTCAAGGGGTATTTCTTTGAAAAGGTTACGCTGAATTATACTTAAATTTTTTTTATTCCAGCGCTACTACTATTACATCCACAATGGCATAGACACAGAACATGTAGCTCCAATGGAAGACTCCTGGTTGGAACATGTGCTCAGCCTTGTTCCTGCAGAATTGAAGGTAGCATATTTTAATTGAACCATACTTATTTAAAAATAATTAATAATACAACAGTCAATGAATGGTTGTGTGTGTTACACCAATCAATGGTTATATGTGTTACAACAATCAGTGGTTGTGTGTGTTACAGCAATCAATGGTTATGTGTGTTACAGCAATCAGTTGATTGTATGTGTTACAACAATCAATGGTTGTGTGTGTTACAGCAATCAATGGTTGTGTGTGTTACAGCAATCAATGGTTGTGTGTGTTACAGCAATCAATGGTTATGTGTGTTACAGCAATCAGTTGATTGTATGTGTTACAACAATCAATGGTTGTGTGTGTTACAGCAATCAATGGTTGTGTGTGTTACAGCAATCAATGGTTATGTGTGTTACAGCAATCAGTTGATTGTATGTGTTACAACAATCAATGGTTGTGTGTGTTACAGCAATCAATGGTTGTGTGTGTTACAGCAATCAATGGTTATGTGTGTTACAGCAATCAGTTGATTGTATGTGTTACAACAATCAATGGTTGTGTGTGTTACAGCAATCAATGGTTGTGTGTGTTACAGCAATCAATGGTTATGTGTGTTACAGCAATCAGTTGATTGTATGTGTTACAACAATCAATGGTTGTGTGTGTTACAGCAATCAATGGTTATGTGTGTTACAGCAATCAGTTGGTTGTATGTGTTACAACAATCAATGGTTATGTGTGTTACAGCAATCAGTTGATTGTATGTGTTACAACAATCAATGGTTGTGTGTGTTACAGCAATCAGTGGTTGTGTGTGTTACAGCAATCAATGGTTATGTGTGTTACAGCAATCAGTTGATTGTATGTGTTACAACATTCAATGGTTGTGTGTGTTACAACAATCAATGGTTGTGCGTGTTACAGCAATCAGTGGTTGTGTGTGTTACAACAATCAATGGTTATGTGTGTTACAGCAATCAGTTGATTGTATGTGTTACAACATTCAATGGTTGTGTGTGTTACAGTAATCAATGGTTATGTGTGTTACAACAATCAATTTTTTTTTTCTTATAGGTTATGTTTTATTTATCAATACTATCATTTCACAATGTCCGACAATGGGCCAAGGCCGTTGGCATCACTGGCCAACAATCAATGGTTGTTTGTTTTACAGCAATCAATGGTTATGTGTGTTACAGCAATCAGTTGGTTGTATGTGTTACAACAATCAATGGTAGTGTGTGTTACACCAATCAGTGGTTGTGTGTGTTACAGCAATCAATGGTTATGTGTGTTACAGCAATCAGTTGATTGTATGTGTTACAACATTCAATGGTTGTGTGTCTTACGGCAATCAGTGGTTGTGTGTGTTACAGCAATCAATGGTTATGTGTGTTACAGCAATCAGTTGATTGTATGTGTTACAACATTCAATGGTTGTGTGTGTTACAGCAATCAGTTGATTGTATGTGTTACAACATTCAATGGTTATGTGTGTTATAGCAATCAATGGTTGTGTGTGTTACAGTAATCAGTTGGTTGTGTGTGTTACAACAATCAATGGTTGTGTGTGTTACAGCAATCAGTTGGTTGTGTGTGTTACAACATTCAATGGTTATGTGTGTTATAGCAATCAATGGTTGTGTGTGTTACAGCAATCAGTTGGTTATGTGTGTTACAACATCCAATAGCTGTTTTTGTTACAGTAATCAATGGTTATGTGTTACAACATTCAGTTTGTTGTGTTTGTTACAACAATCAATCGTTGTGTGTGTTACAGCAATCAGTGGTTGTGTGTGTTACAACAATCAATTGTTATGTATGTTACAGCAATCAGTTGGTTGTGTGTGTTACAGCAATCAGTTGGTTATGTATGTTACAACATTCAATAGCTGTTTTTGTTACAGTAATCAATGGTTATGTGTTACAACAATCAGTTGGTTGTGTTTGTTACAACAATCAATTGTTGTGTGTGTTGCATCAATTAGTGGTTGTGTGTTATAACAATCAATGGTTATGTGTGTTACAGCAATCAGTTTGTTGTGTGTGTTACAGCAATCAATGGTTGTGTGTGTTACAGCAATCAGTTGATTGTATGTGTTACAACAATCAATGGTTGTGTGTGTTACAGCAATCAATGGTTATGTGTGTTACAGCAATCAGTTGGTTGTATGTGTTACAGCAATCAGTGGTTGTGTGTGTTACAGCAATCAGTGGTTGTGTGTGTTACAACAATCAATGGTTATGTGTGTTACAGCAATCAGTTGGTTGTGTGTGTTACAACATTCAATGGTTGTGTGTGTTATAGCAATCAATGGTTGTATGTGTTACCACATTCAATGGCTGTGTGTGTTACAACAATCAATGGTTATGTGTGTTACAGCAATCAGTTGATTGTATGTGTTACAACATTCAATGGTTGTGTGTGTTACAGTAATCAGTGGTTGTGTGTGTTACAACAATCAATGGTTATGTGTGTTACAGCAATCAGTTGGTTGTATGTGTTACAACATTCAATGGTTGTGTGTGTCACAGTAATCAGTGGTTGTGTGTGTTACAACAATCAATGGTTATGTGTGTTACAGCAATCAGTTGATTGTGTGTGTTACAACAATCAATGGTTATGTGTGTTACAGCAATCAGTTGGTTGTGTGTGTTACAGCAATCAAAGGTTATGTGTGTTACAACAATCAACTTGTGTGTGTTACAACAATGGTTCTGCATATGGCAACAATGGTTGTTCATAATTCAACAATGGGCATGTATGTTTAAGCACTAATTGATATGTGTTTTACACATTCTATGGTTGGATATGATACAACGAATCCATATATTAAAAAAAATGGTTCATTTTATTATAGAATGGTCTTAATGACACCATAGAGAATCTCTCAGATGAAATGAGAGAAGACTACCTACTGAGTGTCAAGAAAGCAATAGGTAAGATTAGTTAATTCTTTCTTATTATTCCATCGAACAAAGTTCGGAGGGATATAGTGAACGCCTCCGTCCATCCGTCTGTACATATGTCCATCCGTACGTACGTCCGTCCGTCCGTCCGGGCAATAACTTAAATACTATTGGCCCGATTTTGTTCATATTTTGTAGACATATACCCAATGGGGGTAGAAGTTCTGCTCAAAAACTGATTTTCAAAATGGCCTCTCATTTAAAAATGGTGGCCATTTTAGTGCCGATTTTTCAGTAATTAAGGGACTGCATATAAAACTGTAATAGCAATATGTTTTAAATGTAAAAAAGTTATATAGGACATTGATTAAGCTAGAAATGTAAATACAGAAGAAAAACACAGCAGCCATCTTGAAAAATGGCCTCCTTTGCACGTCATTATACCATTTGAAAACTTGAAAAGTAGTGGAGCGATTTTGTTCATATTTGGTATGTGAATACTTTAAGCATGGTACAATGTCTAATGACATTTTTGGTAGTAGGCTGCCATTTTGAAAAATGTCCGCCATTTTTACGTGTGTTATTTAACATTTTTTACTGTAAGTCAAAAAGTAGTGGAGCGATTTTGTTCATATTTGGTATGTGAATACTTTAAGCATGGCCCAATGTCTAATGACATTTTGGGGAGTAGGCGGCCATCTTGAAAAATGGCCACCTTTGCACGTCATTTAACGATTTTTGCTGTAACTTGAAAAGTAGTGGAACCATTTTGTTCATATCTGGTATGTGAATACTTTAAGCATGGCACAATGTCTAATGACATTTTTGGTTGTAGGCTTCAAAATGGCCGCCATTTTTACGTGTGTTATTTAACATTTTTTACTATAACTCAAAAAGTAGTAGAGCGATTTTGTTCATATTTTATATGTGAACACTATAAGCATGGCACCCTGTCTAATGACACTTTGGGTAGTAGGCAGCCATTTTGAAATATGGCCACCATTTTTTACGTTTTTCCTATAACTTGAAAAGTAGTGGATCGATTTCGAATGGTGGCCTTTCTTATGGGTTTTATTTTATGATATTTGCTAGGCTATATATTTTGTTTGTAAAAATGCCAGCCATTTCTGTTCGATGGGATTCGCTACGCTTTGGCGTTGCCGTTGTTCTGGTTTTTATTTTTCCATGCATCATCACAATTTAAACCCTCGTTTTTTATTATTTGCTTGTACTAATCTGTTGTGTTATGTTGTAGTTGACTTTGTTCTGAAAGACCCACGTGAGAAGGAAGATGACAACAAGGAGAAGCTCCCACCACACCGTGAGGAGCTTGAAGTTGTGCCCAAACCCTGGTACAACCATTATGTAGAAAGCTATGCAATCTGTGCCTCTGATTTACATGTAACTAACCCCTGTATGATGCAAGTACTGGACCTCTGGCACACATCATTTGGGTAAGTACCCACCACTGTATATCTTCTTTGTATACAGTACAGACTCTTAATAGGAAATTTCATACTTTGTTTATGTAAAATTAATATCTTGGTAAGTTATGTAGAGGAATCATAGACTTAATATAACAACAGACTTGAAGAAACACCAGTTCAGGCCCATTCATGGAAGGAAGTTCGCGGGTATGGTCACACCCCCTCACAAATCTCTGATGAACCCAATGTTGGTTTCTCGATTGACTTAAGTTGTCTTAACTTTGTAGAGTGTATAATGGACAATTGTATAATATCTATGGTTTCGAGACCGTCATGATCCTTACAGCAGTTTGTGATGGCTATCACAAAACCGTATTCAAAATCAAGACCCACCTCATGGTCAGCACGTGTGATACCACGTGACTTCTAGTTGTTTGACCAATCAGAAAGCATCTCAAAATATTATCAGATTAATGAGGACTGTACGTGCACAGAGATTGTAAACTTTATATTGAAATATTCCAATGATATTTAATCTTTTGAAAACAATACATGTACTATTGAATTTTGCAATTTAATATACATTTAGAAGTACAGTATTAAGTAGTCTTTAATATGTCAGACTGATTAAGTGTTGATATTAAGCTGAATTTGCAGTGAAACGTTGCAGTATACAAGAACTGTTTTTTTCATTTCTCACATCAAACTATAACAATGTCATTACAACTTGACCAGACTCCTGGCCTGAAGCAATTTGGCCCAACCTGCGGGCCCCAAACTACATGTAAGGACCCTCCCCTAAGGTCTTAAAGACATCATACAACTATGTCTTACGGACTTACAGTTCAAGATATTATTTGCTAAAAGATAAACAAATACCCAAATGTTCTGTTTTGTGTATGGGTCATGTGCTTCTGGCTTTTTTGTGATCCTTAGACTCTTGTCTAAAGAATTTCTTTCAAAAAGTATTATTATTACATAGTACTATCTTACAAATTTTGCCTTTCCTAGGTGTTATATAATATCTTGTTCAATGAATCGACTATTTCATTTCCAGGAAATTGAGATTTGTTGACATTGAAGAGTTCCACAATAGGCCTGACTCCATGGAGCTGTCTGTGTTCCAGAACCTGTGTATGAGACATGTGGAGTCTGCTAAGGAGAAACTGTTGAAGAGATGGTTCCCTGAGGTTCAGAACATCTTCTACCAGGTAAACATTGTTAGAGTCCATCCAAATGTATTTTCTTATATACACAGGCCCGTAGCCAGAATTTTCCAAGGGGGGTTCACTTTTTCAAAGAATTCTAAGGGGGGTTCACCTAGGCAAATTTGGCCAAAAATCACAAACAAAAATAGTCAGAATTGTGAAAAACTGCATGATTTTGAAACCGCTACGGGCCTGTTACATTAGTTCTTATTTCAACTAATTATCTACTTTTACTATCAAAACAATATAGTACCAGATTACGAGTAACTTACCAATTGTGTTACATGTCATTCTAATTAGGTTTAATTGGCTAATTAAAGTGTTAAAACCAAGTTACTGGTACTGGTATACTAAGGTACCTGTATAATTAGTTGGTATCTGTGATTGTACATTTACTTATATTGTATGAAAAGGCTTGGGAGAGGAGTAAGAGAGAAACAGGGGTTAGAAGATATACAACAATGAGTAAAGATAATAACGTTTAATATATAGAAAACGTAATTGTACATGTAGGATCATCGACTTTCTCTTGAAAGCCCATGACAGGATGCAGAGATACACAGTCTCACCCTTCTTCCTCTTACATACCTGTTGCCAGGATTTGTCAAGGGGTTCACTTTCTAAAGAATCCCAGGGGGTTCACTTTTGACTATTTAGGCCCAAAAATGGCCAAAATCACTTGTTAAGTGCTCAGAATGATGAAAAACTGCATGATTTTGAAAGAACTTTTGGTACATGGTATTTCATACATTATGCATTTTCATGTACAGAAAATATACATTTATGTTTAATGGGAAACTCAACAAACATTTCTTTTCTGGATTATATGATTATTAATAATAACAATTTGCACAGTTTGTACTTTCAATATTCTACTTTTGTAAATGTCTTCCACCATATTTTTGCATGAAATGATTTCTCATTGCGTTCTCCTTTGTTTTCAGGGTAACAAGCGTAAGCAAGTACCTAGCAACCATGACCAGGAGAGGCTGGAGTCATTCTTCAACTGTGCTGCCACGATGATGACCCAGCATCTACAGGATCTTGCCCTGGATTCTATTAATGACTATTCAAACCTATTGGTACAGCCAAAGGTAGGCATCTCTTCCTATCTGAACGACATACATGTAGTATATGAGGATTATTCAATGGGAGGTTTTGGATACAGGGTGTATCCTGAGGGAAATATGATATATCTACCCGAGGGACTGAGGGAAATATTTCTATGGTGCACTGTATTGCTCTTTAATATATGATTAGTTTAAATAGCAAGTCTTGATGACGGTCTATGTAGATTGACAAACATTATTTAAAATGCAAAACATATCTTTTAATGTCATGATATAATCAACACAGTGCTTGTGAGAACTGCAACGATGTTAATGTCAAATGATAACAGATTTACACAACCCCTCCAGTAAAACAATTTAGAATTTAATTTTCCCTAATTTGTTTGCAGACTTCTACTAGAGCCTATGAACATTCAGGGTTTATCTTGAGACTTGTGTTAGACAACACAGAGATCAAATATGAGCCAAACTTTCAAGATTTTGAAATAGTTCTCTTGAATGTGTATGATGTCATGATCAAAGCAGCCAGTATCGTCCCTAGAGTAGAAACCAAACTTTATTCAGAATGGGTAAGTTTGAATTTGCTTTTTATTTTATTTCATCGGGACTCTTTTTCATATTTACTGTCAGGATATGAGACTAGGAAACAAGCATGAATATATTACTAGGCTGTATAAATGCCTTAACACTGGTTAAAGATGAATACTGTGAAAGTTGACACCAATATAATTTTCTCCAATTCAGAATTTACTTTTGCTTCTGGTCTCAGAATTTAATTCACTGTTTTAGAATTGTGTCCATAGATATAAACGTATCATGGTAATGGTATTATTGTACTATTTTGTCACCATGGTTCTTTTTGTGTTCAACGTTTGACAGTTGGCATCTGTAACCAGTGGTCGATTGTGACATTTTGCAGGTTCATATCTTGCATTATTATTTATTTACAAAGTGTTGGATTTTAGTGAAATAAACATCTTGTACAATAAATCATTAAAATGTAATATTTGTTTAATTTAGGGTGGAGACAAGAACCACATGTACTTAAGTCCCGTAATACTGGAGAACATCCTTACAAGACATAAGGAGAGTGTCAAGGCAGTCATTGAGAAAGAGAGTGCTGGGCCAATACATCACTCCAAGCTCTATGACAAATATAACTTCCTCATCTCCAAACAAGCTGAGGCAGATGTGGAACAGTTCTTACAGGAGGACCACACCTTTAATGAGTATGCCAAAGAGGTGCGAAAGTACCACAAGCTAGTGGACCAGATACAATATAATTCAAGGAAGGTGAGATATTCAATTTATAATATACTGTACAAAACTGAAAAGATTGTTTTATTGAATTTTTTAGGTTTGACATCAGGTCATTTAGATCCATGAGAATACAACTAGTAAATTATGATGAATTGTCAGTGAAATCTGATGAAACACCCTTTACATAAACATTGCTGATACATTTACTTTAAGAGTTTTCTAATTTCCAAGATTCATGTTTTGAATAAATGTAGGGAAAATAGTAGTAGTCAATCAATAACTTTAAACTGAGTGTAAAATATGCAGAATTTTGACTCCATAAAAGTAATATGTTTTATTATTTATATAGCTTCATAATCCAAGGGTAATGAACCAACCAATAAAACTGATTTCAATAGTGCACGGCATAGAACAGAAATTATTTGCTTATTTGCAGTTTTTCTCTGCAAAACAAATAATTGATATCTATGTACATTTACTTGCGATCTATGTTTATTTCTTTATATAGCATGTTTTCAAAAAGTTACATTAAAATGCATGATCCTCTTTTATAAATCCTCTTTTTTACAATAATGCCATAATATGTTGTTTTTATGAATGAGTTACCAAATCTCAATTGAATTCATATTCAACCTTATCTGTTATGTAAATACATCACGATACATATGCATTGTAATTTTTAATTTTTTCACCCTTCTAGTTTCTGTGTACAATGTACATGGACTATCAAATGTTTGCATGTGGGGTACACTTTCAAAATCAATTTATAAAAATTTAAAACAGAGATAGTATAATATATGAAACAAGATTATTTAAGAAATATAGTCCAAAGATCAGGTGTTATATCGACGAATACACCCTGCAGGTCTAGGCACAAACGTATTCTGTACCCTGAATGACCGAAGGGAGTGAGGGGTTTGAAAGCTTTTGTGCCTTGCCCTTAGGGGTGTATTTGTAGATATAACACCTGCTCTGAGGTCTATATTACGATTCGAACATGAAAGCTCACCAAAATTTTTTGAATATTCATTTAATGGTCTGTCATTTCTACAGCCCGCCGTAATGACGACACACATTACTCGTATTACCAGGGGTAGTGTTGACGAATATACCCTGGTGAAAAGTTGACTTTGGTCACTGGCATGAATACAGTCATGTTCGAATATTATTTATTCTTAATTACTGTGATATTCAGAGGATATCATGTCAAAATAAAAACACCATTTTTGTAGTCAGTTGAAAATATGATATTTTGGCAAATTTTCACTTAAGGCTTTTAAACTATTGTATACTGCACCATATAAAATGAGGCTAACAATTGTTTTATTGAAAATTCATCCCTCCCATTAAATAACCTATATATATTACAGTACATGTATATTGTATACTCTGTAGTTGTTTAAATATGTAATATTTTGATAATTTCTGAAGTATCATCATTAACCTCAAAAACAATTGGAGGTAATCAGATTTGAGAGAGCAGATACGCTTTGTGTTACTGACCAAGCTGTCTAATTGTCTGTTATATTGTAGGTGATCAGACTGGGAATGTTTGAGGTTCATTGCGATGAGTTGATCCGAGGCCTGGCAAAGAGAGCAGATACTCTCTGTAGTAGACTACTGGCCAAGATGTCCAGAGACCACCAAGAAGCTAACAAAGCGTAAGTTTGTTTCAACAGATTCAGTTGATTTACTAGAGAGTGCTTGCATGTACAATTTCATTATCATATTCCCTGCATCTTTATACCTTGTATTGGACAAGTTCATCAAAACAAAAAAATCATTACCATTCTTTTGGATCTACTTCACTTTACAATTCAATTTCCTAGTTTATGTGATGAGTATGAGGCAATAGCTGAGAAGGCCCTCACCACTCCACCAACCACAGAGAAGCTCATGGAGCTGATGGCCTTCATAGACAATGTAGAAAAGGTCACCATATTCCAATTGGAGGAGCAGCTAGTCCATGCCAAAGATCGTTTAGCATTTTTGGTTGATTATGCCTCATTCTCCCCGGCAGAGATGCGACTGAATAGTAATACATTCATGTGGAATGGACGCATGCCTGCAATCTTTGAAGAGCATAGGTTGATCATTGGAGAGAAGAGAAACCAATATGAAGAAGCACTCAAGGTATACATATGCTACATATTATCATTTATTAAGATTCAGAAGCAGAATTTTTCTCCAGTAATATTGAATTTATGGCATTGTGTAACCATCTCCATTTGACAGTTGCCAGCCATATGCATTACATTATAGTTTCAGAAATAAAGTTTTCACACCTTTAATTATACATTTGCTAACAGTTTCTGCAATCTCCATGAATGTCAACTTGAATTACTTAAAAACTTTTAAAAATACATTGTATATCATAAATACATATTTTCACCTTCAGCTTCGACGTGAAAGGTTCAATGAAGAAATTGATGGATATGCCAAACAGGTGGAAGAATTCCAGACATTTGGAGATATGAATGAAATAAGTCGTTATCTAAGAAAGTGCCAGGCTTTAGATGGGAAACTTCAAGCAGCTGCTGACAAAGTTGAGGCATTTAACACTGAGGAAGAGTCATTTGGATGGGAGACAACACAGTACCCTAAGCGTATGACAACTATCAACAAGCTGAAGCCATATCTAACGCTTTATGAAAGCACAGTAGATTTCAATACTAAATATAAGTGAGTAATATTAACTAGAACTAGAAGATAAGGAGATCCAATGGGTGAAATTCTCCAACATAACTCATGATTCCAATGTAAAAACAATGGATCAAGAATAATACTTAATGATATTTTAGGGAATTAGGATACACCTCAACCAATAATTATACAAAACATTTTTGAATTATATCATAAAGGATTCATATATCAATTATCAAAATATCTCCATTCTTGAATGTCTTTCATTCATCCATATTATACTTCATTCCATTTCCTTTAATTGCAGAGATTGGATGGATGGGCCAATGAGTGGAGTTGACCCTGATACAACAGAACAAGATGTTGGCAATATATGGCGTGCTCTCTACAAACTTGAAAAAGTTTTTGATGGTGTCCCTGCTGCTAAGAAAATTGCACAAAAAGTAAGCACATGTACAGTTTAGAGTGATGCAGGATAAATTCTAATCAAAATGTGATGACAAGACCTATCTCATTGGGTGACTGTTTAAGTAAATTGGAATCAAGATTATATTGACACAAATCTTACTTTAGCACTTCCATGTAATTCACCTTTTTGTAAGAAATGACTCTGACTTTTTTGAACACACAGGGCCAGGTACACATGTGTTTTATTTTACTTGGAGTAGGTCATCAGAAATTTCGAAGCTACTTGTCAAATTTAAATAATATATGACATATTTTTCAAATGCTGAAAAATATAGGTTGCAGTTATTTTGCAACTTGGTCTTACTAATGCTCTTATTCCTCAACAATAGGTTAAAGCCAAGGTAGAAGAATTCAAGGAACACATGCCACTTATACAAACATTATTCAACCCTGGTTTGCGAGATCGCCATTGGGATCAAATCTCTGACATAGTGGGCTACCCTCTCAAACCAGACGATGATTATTGCTTGTCGAAACTAGTGGACATGAACCTGGAGCCATTTATTCCCAAGTTTGAGGGAATCAGTGAGGCTGCCAGCAAAGAGTATTCTCTGGAGAAGGCCATGGAGAGAATGAAGATTGACTGGGAACCGGTAAGATTCTATTTTAGTTTATACTTTTATCAAGAACCTATAAATTTCATATATGCATTCTATTTTAGTTTATACTTCATATTTTTATGAGAACTTCTTATATGGGCTTTCAAATTTTTCTTGAAAGCCTTTGTTTTTTCTGAGTGTTTGGAATAAAATATTGTGGCTCTCTTGAAAACATGCGAGTCATGATTAATGACAAAAGCCATGTGTGCCACTATTTTTAAAAAACATTTTTCATCTCACGCTTAGGGTTTGAGGTTCCATAATAGAGCTGGTCTATATTTCTTATCAGGAGACCCAGTTGACATAAATCGGTGTACTCTGACTGACAAAACATCATTGGCATTTATCCTTTCCCCAAACAGTGATATTTTTGCAGCTGTCAGTATTAGGACTTAAAGTAGAAGCATATTATTAGATTAACTACACATTGAATCCACTTTATGTCTAGATGGAGTTTGTGATGATCCCATACAGAGAGACAGGCACAAGTATTCTATCATCTGTTGATGAGATCCAGCTGTTGCTAGATGATCACATTGTTAAAGCTCAGACCATGAGGGGATCACCATTTATCAAACCCTTTGAAGCAGAAATAAAGTAAGCAATATATTATGTTACACTTTTCAACTTCAATGCAAGATCTGAAAATAGAAGTAGCAAGAAATATAGCCACTTAGTATGGAGTAAAATGACTAGAGACATTTGTATAGGATTTGATCCTGTGTTTTAAATTAACCTTAACTAATTTTTTAGTATTGACAAAGAGCTAGACAAACATAAGTTAGTTAGACAAACATTGATCCAATATAATTATCCTATTTGTTAATGTGGTTTGCTCTAAAGAAAGAGCAAATTATTTTATACACGTATTTTTAAAATGCGGAATTGTTGATTCTAGGGACTGGGAATACAAGCTAGTGACCCTACAAGATGTCCTTGATGAGTGGCTGAAGGTGCAGGCCACCTGGCTCTATCTTGAACCCATCTTCAGCTCCCCAGACATCATGGCACAGATGCCTGAAGAGGGACGTCGATTCACAACTGTTGACAAAAATTGGCGTGACATCATGAAATCCGCCATCTTGGACAAGAAAGTACTGTCAGTACTAAATATTGACAAGATCCTAGAGAGACTGAGGAAAAGTAATGAGTTACTGGAGTTGATCCAGAAGGGACTTAATGAGTATTTGGAGAAGAAGCGATTGTATTTCCCACGCTTCTTCTTTCTGTCCAATGACGAGTTGTTGGAGATTCTGTCAGAGACAAAGGATCCAACTCGGTATGTGAATAAATATCAGACTGAATGTTTTATATCATAAATATCATTTAAACAAAAGTTTTACATGAACTTCAATCAACTGATTTGCAGCATTAATATTAAACCCAAAGTATCTATTATATTTCAAAGGTTAACCTTGTGTTTTTTATAACAATATTGAATTGATTAATCTTACATTGCAGCGTACAGCCTCATTTGAAGAAGTGTTTTGAAGGAATTGCCAGTTTGAGTTTCACAGATATCCTAGATATCACACATATGAAGTCTAGTGAGGGTGAGATTGTCCCCTTGAAGGAATCCATTTCTACCTCCAAGGCTAGGGGACAGGTGGAGAAGTGGTTGCTGGAGCTAGAGACACTCATGCTTACATCTGTCAAAATGGTATGTTTATATTCTTTATTGATGATTTTCTAGAAATGCACCTTGCTTTTATTTTACTTTGCCTCACTACTTTAACAGTATAAAAGTACAGACTGTATAAAAATATATATAGATCCACAAGTAAATTATTAATTATGTGAATTAATAATGCTTTGCCTATAGAGGTTCCAATTGAGTTGGTTTTGTAGGTTGTTAAAGAAGCAATAGATGACTACCCGAACAAGAAAAGAATTGAATGGGTGCGTGAATGGATGGGGCAAGCTGTCCTTGCTGCTACACAACTCTACTGGACAGAAGATGTACACAAAGCTATCAGAGATGGCCCTGAGGCAAGACAAGCCTTTTTGGAATTAAACAACTCCCAGATTGATGATATTGTGGAGCTTGTTAGAGGCAAGCTGTCTAAACAGAACCGAACCACTCTTCAGGCTCTCATTGTGCTGGATGTACATGCCAGGGATGTGCTTGCACAACTAGTGAAGTTAGACATCAGTGAGGAGAATGACTTCCAGTGGCTGGCTCAGCTAAGATACTACTGGGAGGTGGGTTTGTCCCCTTGATGTATTGCATTATAACGTTTCCTTAGTATAGATTTTATGTATTACTTGTTCCAAACATGTATATTACTATGCTCTAAGTATGACATACAACTGTTGATATGAAACCAAAGGATGGGTATTGATATGGTGAACTTTTTGATTTTGAACACACGTTTCTCTTAAACTAGTCATCAAAATATTCTGAAAGTTTTACACATCGTCAATTTAATGGCCATCTTTTGAAAGGTAACAATATTATTTGAAAAAAATGTATATACTTTTCTCTATATTGTTTTAGAAAACACATCAGACACTTCTTTTTTTCTTGGTATCATATGTTCTGAATGAAATGTAACATCTATCCGAACCTCATTTTAACAAAATGACATAAACACAACATGTTTAGGTCTCAATATTGTAATTGTACAAAGGAAAGTTTGGTTGATTTAAAAAAAGTATCTTGTTTATGAAATAAAAGGTTTATCTTAATTTCTATCTATTTTGGGGGGTTTTGTTTTAATTTTTTGAATACTTTTTGTAAAATCAACCAAAATTTCCTTTGTATAACTTTAATATTGAGAGGTCTAAGAAAATATTGTATATAACACCCCGACATTTGAACTCGGAATCCTACAAATACTCGGACTTCAGCAAACATGAGGTTTGGGCAAATTAGGTTCAATTCTTATGCCGGGCATAAGAGTAGATCTGTTCTTATGCCGGGCATAAGAGTAGATCTGTTCTTATGCCCGGCATAAGAGCAGATCTGTTCTTATGCCCGGCATAAGAGTAGATCTGTTGTTATGCCGGGCATAAGAGTAGATCTGTTCTTATGCCGGGCATAAGAGCAGATCTGTTCTTATGCCCGGCATAAGAGCAGATCTGTTCTTATGCCCGGCATAAGAGTAGATCTGTTCTTTTGTCGGCATAAATAGAACATCTGTCCTTATGCTAAATGCAAAAGACAATGAGAGTAGATTTGTTCACTTCAAGTATACGTGTCACAAATTTGTTACAAATATCATTATAACAGGAATGAAAATAGAGGGAAAGTTAATGGCCAACAAAGTTTATGTCAATTTTTTATCAGTATTGGTCATTACTTCAATGCTCTGATAGATTTTGTACACCAGCACAGCAGTAAATAACAAAGAAACATTGTATTTATTTATAATAGTTCATGTTATATTCAAATAATACTTCATTTATTTAATTTTATTAATATATTACTGTATAATACTAACTGCTGAAGTTATAAATTTATTTGGTGTTTGAATTTTTTGTCAAGTTGGTTTTGACTTGAATCCCAATAGTCTAGTATTATTTACTGTATCATAGGGAGTTTCAATTGTCATTTCAATACACTGATGTAGTAGCCATCCTTAGCTCATAGTCATATGAATCATGAAGGATTTTAGGGTTTGGCTTTTTCATGTAAAATCCCTTGCCAATTGATTTTCGCTATCACAAATTGATTGGATGAGATGGAGTTATAGTCTTGTATCACAATGTATAAAGTTTCATTTGACTGATTACAGTTGTGTTAACATTCATAATCATAGTCAACAGTCTTTGTTGCTTCACTGATTTTTATTCTTCATCTACTGTTACTGTTTCTTTGCCATTTAGAGCATAGTCACAGTTACTTGGGTTTCTTGATATCAGCATTGAATAATAAGGCTCTGATTCCATTACTGCATCATTTTGTCACAAATAGCTGAGAGGATAATCACTTCATGGACAGTGTGAGATGTGGAGATGAGACGCTTCTTGGGTACATTGTATTTTCATATATTCATTATCTTGGCTGGGTCTTCTAATTCACACATGTATTTTTATGAGGAACTTTGCAGGGCAAGTTAATTTAGCCTGGTTAAATAAGTCAACACAGTCAATGTTTGCTGTTCTTCCTAGCCACATTCACAATAGGCCTAGCTGATGGCGGGAGTTCCAATGTCATTTTATTTGATTGTGTGGTAATATCATGATTTGTACAGGTACTTGCACAACAGGGAACATCTTCAGCAAACACTGAAAAATAAGAAAAGTTCATTATATTGACATGATCACTCAAACCATACATAACATTTACTCTTAAGGCATTCTCAAAAATGTGTGATGTCAGATTATAAAAGTGATTAATTCACTCAGGTGGCAAAATTGTCAATATTTTTCTCATTTTCTTATCACGGTATATATCCAGGCCCCGCATGATACTCATAAAAAGTAAGTTAAGTTCGAAAAATCCTTTGCTCATATTAAAGATGTTCTAAAACAAATATGTTGCAAAGATATCAACAAAATTATCCCCCTTTTTGTGGTCTAAACATATTTAAGATAAACTACAGGCCCGTAAGACACTTTTCTCCAACATGTCCAAGGGGGTGCAGTTTTTAATAGAGAAAATAAAATTGTCATTTTTTCCGCATAACTCAAATCTCGTAAGTCAGGGGGGGGGGGGGTCAGTTACTCTCTAAATTAAGGCCACTCAGCCTATTTTGTAGTATTTTATTGTTTTCATATTGGTTTTAGACTAAATATTGTATGAGCAATTAGGAGAAACATTGGAATACTAGGGAGGGTGTGCTAGAAGGCAATAGAATCAATTTAAAGAAATTCAGATTTTTTAATAATTTTCTTTTTAGAGGGGCGAATGGGCAGCACAGGAAAATTTTACTAATTCAATATGCTATCTGGTTAATTCTGAGCACTTTTAATGTGTTTGAGTAAATTAATGCTTTAGTTTTTGGGATGCGGTGTCAGAATTATTTATGATTTCATTATGTCACTTGGTGATTTCTGAGCACTTTTAAAGTGTTTAATATTAACAAATGCAACTTCAAAACATTCCCAATTGTTTTGTGGGGGGGGGGGTGAGTGTGCACTTTCAAAGTGTATTAATCAAAGGGTTGTCAAAGAGGATAAAAGGGTGAGGGTGATGGGTGCCCAACTCTCCTAGAAAATTTTACAATTTTAAGATGATATTTGGTGCTTTCTGGGCACTTTTAAAGTGTATGAGTCAATAAAAAAATTGGGGGGTGTGTGCCCGAGGGGGAGGTGGGGTGAGGATGACAGAGGGGGAACAAGTATTAGTTCCCCAGAAACTTTGACTATATCAAGGAGCTATTTGATGATGTCTGGGCACTTTTAAAGTGTCTGAGACAATACATAAAATAAATTCAGAACTTTTCAATTGTTTTGTGGGGGTGTGAGGGATGGCCTACTTCCCTAAACAGCGGATTATATAAAAAAATGGACTGTAACAAATACCCATCATTCTGACATAGATTGCTGAACTAATGTAAGTTAAAAATTCCTAATAAAAGGGGTGTATATACTGGCAAGCGAATTGCTTGAAATGGGGGGGCGAAAAGGCCGAAATGTTTGAAATGGTTGAAACGAAAGAGAATGTTAAAACAGCTTAGGCGAATTGATTGAAATGCTTGAAACGGCGATACAGGCAAAAGCGGCGAAAGCAGCGAAACTGTCATTTTATTTTTCGAGACGTATTGATTGAAATGCTTGAAACGGTTGAAAAGCCCCGGCGAAATGCTTGAAATGAAAAACGTGCATGTTCGTTTTTTTTTCAATCATTTCGCCAGTTCCTTTATGAATTAATCGTATGATTGAAATGCTTGAAACGGCGAAACAGGCGCAAACAGCGAAACTTTAAATTGATTTCAAAGGCGTATCGATTGAAACGATTGATATTTTCAAAATGACGTAAGCATTGAAACGTAGGAAATGATGCAAGCATTGAAACCATTGAATTGATTGAAACAATTGCAACGATTGAAACGCTATTTGCAGTGTATACAGGGCTTTTATAGCTGAAACTGTTCTGTTGGCCCTGGCAAACAATATCCCAATATGCATTTGAAATTATTTCTGTCTATATGCGTTTACAGTCTGTGATGTCATCATCAATCTTTACAATGGGAATTACTGTAGATTGGGTTAATTTGGCGCTACTTAATTTGGCGATTTTGCCATTTTTGGCATATTGGCGGCTATTTAATTTGGCGGATATGCAAAAAAAATTGTTAAACTTACCCGCTGTTTGCGAATTATCATGTAAATGGGCATGTTTGGCTATGTTCATTTTATCTTTTGAGGATCAATGGCGATATTCACCACGTTTGTACATATTTGTGAGATCATCCTTTACATTTTGCCCCTCGATCGATGCTGCTCCTATACCGCGCTTTTCCTTTCTAGTTTTCCCTAAGTATTAATGAGTGACTGACCAGTTCTGAGCCAATTTATGAGAGACATTTTTTCATATTTTTGGATAAAACTAAACCGGAAGTGACCTAGATACACTGGACGAAATACCCTAGATAATTCCCGGGGATTCATTCTAAATTTTGGCGTAGATTTATATTGGCGAATTTTTTAATTTCGCCAAATTCGCCAAATTAAAGCGGGCGCCAAATTAACCCAATCTACAGTAGTTGAATTCTATCTGTGACAGTGAGATTTGCTGGAATTACACATGGCGTTTTACAAAAGCGTCGTCGGTTTTAACCAGGTTTAAGAATTAGGTGTAATCACGATTGCGGTTTTACAAAAGCGCTTTTCTAAAACTCCAAGAACCCTTGTCACTAGTAAATGGCATAAGTCGTTAGGCGTTTTAAGTGTGCAGTGTAATACCGATCGGTTTTTTGTAAGAAGCCTTACCCGGGTTTTTACTAGTTTTTAACATTTGCCCTAAACGAAATATTTGATACATTTGATACATGATAAGACATCCGGTCACGCTGCTATCTGGCTATATTGAAATTGAAAAATGGATGATGGTCGCCAGGTCACATCGAAATCAAGTGTTATCTTCAGAGAATATGTACATGTTTTTCTTATACCGGATTTTCTCGCATATACGCCCCCCTAAAGTTAGGCTCATGGGCCAAAAATCGAATGTAGTACGCTTATACGCCCATGGGTCTATAAAAAATGACTATTCATTGATTTTTTCAATAAATTCAAGAGTATTTTGTCACTGG